ATAAAAATAAAATAAAGAAATATATTAATATATAATAAATTATATATAAATAAAAATATAATAATATATAAAATAAAATATAAATAATAAGAATATAAAACTAATAAAATATGATAAATATAAAATATATAGATAAAATGATGATATATATAATATAAGAATAAAAATAAATATAATAATAAAATATATAAATATATAAAAATAAAATACATTAATAACATAATAATAACATAATAATAATAATGTATACATACATTGAATCAAATATCATTTCTGAATCATTTATATTTCATAACAATTTAACATAAAATGATATAAAATATAATCAGATATAATTGAATATAGAATGAATATTTAATTTACTTTTTTATTTTTTATTTTTTTAGGAGCAAAATAATAAAAATTATTATTTTATTGATGCAAAATATTTTGCCCTCTTCTTTTTGTTATTTTTATTTAGATTCATTATTTCTTTGCTTATTTTGGTTCCCTGAACAAACAAGAAAAAAGGCAATAGATATTATAATGAAATAGTTTAAATACTATTAATAAATAGTTTTGAAATTAATTAAGAACTGGTTAATTTTGAACTTTTAATATTTTATAATTATTATAAAATATAAATTTACTTTTATTTCTAACAATGTTTTATTTTAATTAAATCTCAAAATTAATTATTATAGTGCATTATATTCATTAATTTATCTTTCTTCTTATTTTTCATTATTTTTATTTTTATCACTACTATTATCTTCATTGTTTAATTAACGTACTATTATTTTCTGTTTGATTATTTATTAATTGTTTTAGATTTTATTTGTATTATTATTGTTTTCTTATTCTATAGTTTTGTTCATAAAAGAGAAGTTGATTTAATTAATAAAATATAACTTTAGTAATAATGTTAATTGTATTTATAACATCTACTTCAACAGTTCTTAACATCACCATATCTAATTGTAATATTTCAAATACTTTTGTTTTAAATTAATTAGAATTATACCAACGATGGTAATGAATTGAATTTTATGATGATAGTTGATGTATTAATATCTAAATATACATTACAATTATCTTAATTCTGATAAACATACAGATAATATATAAATTAAAGAATGATATATTTTATTACACACTGGTACAACGTTTATTTATCAGAGATAAGTTAAAATAAATTAAGTGTCAATTCATTTAAAACAAAAAATGAAAGAGAAATATAATAATTAATATCAAATAAATAAGAAAAAAGTTAGAATTGAATATGTTTAATTTTATTTAATAAATTAACTTATTATTGATAATATTCATCATCAAATGATTATTAACAATATTTACCATTTATTGAAGTGATAGAAAGTATAATTTTTATTTATTTGAATCATTCAAAACACTTTTAAATATGAATTTGTTTAAAAAATTAACATATTTTATAATGGAATATCCATTATTAAAATTAAATTTCGATTTTATTGTTTACATATGAGAAAACAAGATTGTAAGAGGTGTAAAATTGATGTTGAATAATATAATAAGTGATTCATTTTGTTATTGATATTCATAAATATTGATACTCATTAAATTAGCAATAAAACCAAATAGTTAAAATAATTGAAATATAACAAAATATAGAAAATGAAAGCCAACTTATTATTTTGCTGCTGTATCCTTTTTCATTATTTTCAAATAACATTACTATATAAGAAAATTACTTATGAAATAATATTATTGTTATTTGTCTATAATTGATTATTTTATTCTATTTTATTTATTTCATTATTCTATTCATTTTTTATTCTTATTTCTTTTATTCAATTATTCTCTGTTATACTTAACCTATTAATTAAGAGTCATAACACCATTTATTGTTCTATTTATTTCTTTGGTTTTGTTTTCATTTCTTAGTATTTGTTTATTATTCTTGTTTTTTTACATTTGTTTTTTTATTCTTTATTTCTCTATTTTTCATTGGTATTTCTTTCATATCTGTATTCATTAATGATGTATTATTATTGTGCATATTACCATTGTTTTTCTCTTTTTCTTTAATTGTTAAATTTCTTTATCATTTGGTGGTTTGATATTATTTAGTATTGTTATTCTTGTTGTATATTATTTATCTTTTTATCTTTTTTATTTTTATTTCATTTTATTGTTATTTAGTGTTTGATTATCTCTTTATTTTTTTTCTATTTTTATCACAGTTATCTAATTCATTTTGTATGATATCATCATTATCTTTTATTTTTCTATCATTTCTTCTTTCTCATTCTTATATTTTATTTTTATCATTAATTTATCATCATTTATTATCATTTTTATTATTACATTCGAAGAGGAGCGCTCTTTTATTTGTGTTTTCATTTATATCTCTTTCACCTTTTCTATCATTATGTTGTGTTTTATCATCATTTTTGATGAGATATTTTGTTCTCATTCATTCTTTCTTATTCTTTATTTTCTTCTAATTTTTTGATTTAATTAATTTATTATATAATTTTATTTTTTAAAAATAATAAAAATGAAATAATACTTAAATGATGCTTGAATTATTAAAATGAATAATAATAGACAAAACAATGTGTTATAAACGTGTATTTAGTTATTTAATCTTCTTATTTTAATCTGATATTTATTAAATTGAATGGAAGAGTTAATAAACAAGAACACTCAATTCTTTAAAGAAGAAATAGAAACAATTCCAAATATTCAACAATCAATTGATGATATTACTAAACATTATCATTATTATTTAGGATGTATTAAAAATGAAGTATTTGAGAAACAAGATAATGAAACATATTCAGAAACTATTAAAAGAGGAGAAGGAATATTTAATAGAATAGATGAAACAGAAAAAAGAAGAAAACTAATAATAGAAAAAAGTCAAGAAACAATTAATCACATAGAAATATTAATAGATAAAATGATAAAATTAATAGAAGAATGTACTTCTGATGAAGAAACACTAAGTAAAACACGGAATAAATTAATAGATAAAATCATTCACATGGAACAAATGAATACAGAAGATAAAATATGCAAAACACCAGAAGAATTCGATAAAATAGTAGAAGAATTTAATAAGAATACAGAAGAATGGAACAGACGTTACAGTGATTATTTAGACAGAAAAATGATAAAGAAAGAAAAGGAGGAAAGAGAAAGAAAGAAAAAAGAGGAAGAAGAAAGAAAGAAGAAAGAGAAAGAAGAAAGAAAGAAGAAAGAGAAAGAAGAAAGAAAGAAGAAAGAGGAAGAAGAAAAGTTACAAAGAATGAGAGGAATGCTACTACTAAAATATCAAAAAGAACAAATAGAAAAATGGACAAATAGAAAAATAGGAAATATACTATTTGATTCAGATATTGATAATTGGAATGAAGGTACATCAGTATTAAATCAAAGAATACTGAACAAGGAACATATAATAATTATTATTGAAGATACAAAAAGAAATAAATTTGGAGGATATGTTAATGTGAAAATTGATAAAATTAATAGTTATATAAAAGATCCAAATTCATTTATATTTTCATTAGAAACCAATGAAGAAAATAAAAGAATGGAGAAATTTGATA